GCCCCGCGCGAAAGGGAGGCCCGGGCGCGCACAGTCACCAGCTTCCAGCAACCATCCCGCGGTTTGTACCCGCTGCGGATTCCGTCGCTGTTTTCCCGGCACCGCCTGCTCCGCGAAGCTCTGTGACGTGTGTTCGTCACCCTTTTGTCCTGGGCCTTGGTGCGCAGGCGCTCAAATGTCCCATTCTGTGCTCAGCGCGGGAAAGGGCTTGTTGTCTCTTCTGTTTCCTGCGTCATCTCTGTACTTGATGTGACTTCGTTAGGGAATCTGGTTGCCATGGTTATCGTCATGGTTACCACCGAGGTCCCAGCCACAGTGACAGGTCTGTTTTATGGATCTGGCGCATTTCGGTGGAGAAGAGGTGGAAAGGTGAAAGAAGTGATTTACTTTTGGACACATTAGGTTTGAGTGCCTTTGGAATTTCCAGTTAGAGATTCCTACTGGGAGACTGGAAGCTTGGGAGTTAAGATGGTCACTAAGGGGGGGGAGTATAATGATTAGAAGAGGGTCTTCCCCTGAAATATCTCCTAATTCTGTGAGCCAGAAATCTCCATTGGCTCACCTTAGATCAAATAATCTTCCGTATCATACTTGGCTAATGGGTTTGTTGCTTGGTAGAGTCTTTTCTAGAAAAACTTGGGGGTATATAGCAGGAGCCTTAAAAATGTTCATCCTCCTTGACTCAGCATTTCTTGTCCTAAGAAAACCAGCCCAAACCCAAAGTTTTATGAAGATGTTCTCTGTTGTCTTATTTACAATAAGACAATAAAAAATGGAAACAGCACCCAAAGGTAGGAAAGTATAGGGTATCACCAGAGCACTCAAGAAGCGGAAGACTTCTAGGGGGGCACTTCAGGGTATGAAATGTGGGAGGAAGGGCCAGGTCGAGGGGAGCACCCTGTCTTGGTCTCAATCAGGCCTGTGGAGCAAGGTGTGGTCTGCATATTAACCACTGTTGAGGGAGGTCTGGAGAGGGAAAACCAGCTCACTTTCCCTTGAGGCCTCTTACTGGTGGATACCAAGGGTGGAGGGTGGGAGTGGTCCACCTGGTACAGGCAATAAAGGGTGTATTAGTTTTCTGTTGCTGTGTAATATTTATCATAAATTTATTCGCTTAAAACAACATTCACTTATTAGCCCAGCGATCTGTAGGTCAGAAGCCAGGGCAAACATGTCTGGATTCTCAGTAAGGCTGAAATAAAAGTATTAGCTAAGTTGCATTCCTTTCTAGAGGTTTCTCCCACCAGCCAGAGACATACTAGGTTAGGACCACCTAGATAATGTCCCTTTCTTAAGGTCAACTGATTTGGGAACGTAATTATGTCTGCAAAATCCTTTTATAGCAGTGTGAAGATGGCATTTTTCCAACAGGAAAAGACATTGACCCAAAAGAACACAACAAAGGAAAAAAGCAAAAGAAGTTATTGGAACAACAGCATGATCTGTTTTGAAATACGGAATGCTTCCAATATTGGGTATAGTTTCACTTCGTGATAATTACCAAAATAACGTCGTATAGTGGAGAGGCAGTTAAAAAAAAATCAGCTGTTTTGGGTGTCGAACAGGCTAAGTATGGCACTAACTCCCCTTTCTTAAATCCTTTTCTGAATTATTCATTGTCTATAATTATCTGGAGGTGGGTGATGGAGGTTGATAGTCAAAAGACTGGTTCTTATCTCTTATAGAAAGCTTTCAAGAACATGTCAAGACCCTCTTTTTAGAATGTGGGGTAATTTGTCATATATTGTATACTCAGATAACAAGAAAAAAATCTCATTCCACATCCTGTTACAAATGCTTAGTGACCCTTTGTATTTCCTCTTCTGCGACTTGGAGGTTTACATCATTTGTTCTTTGCCTTTTCTTACCAAGTAGCAGGAGCTCCTGGCATATTAAAGACCAAGGGTCACAAACTATGGCCCTTAGGCCATATATGACCAGACCAGCTGCCTGTTTTTATAAGGCCTGCAAGTTAGTAATAGCTTTTTATGTTTTCAAATGGTTGAAAAAAAAGAATAACAATATTCCATTGTGTATGGAAATCATATGAAATCCAAACCTTAGTATCCATAAAGCTTTTTCGGAACACAGCTGTACTTATTTGTTTATGAATGGTCTGTGGTTGCATTTGTGCTGCAGACACAGACTTGAATGGTTGTGACAGAGACCTTATAGCCCCTGCGCCTCAAATGTTTACTGTCTGACTCTTTACAGAAAATGTTTGCAGACCCCTGCCATAGACAATAACCAGAGTCCATCAAATAAATGTGTTGCACATGTATTTTTCCCAACCTGCCTTTTTTTTAGCAAAGATATTTTTATTCTATTTTCTTCCAGTTTTATTGAGGTATAATTGACATACAGCATCAAATAAGTTTAGGTGTACAACATAATGATTTGACTTAGATACATCATAAAGTGATGACCACAATAAGTTTACTGAACATCCATCATCTCATATAGATACAAAATTAAAGAAATAGAAAAAAATTTATTTTCTTTATGATGAGAACTCTTAGGATTTACACCCTTAACAGCTTTCGTATATAACATGTAGCAGTGTTGATTATATTTATCATGTTGTACATTTCTTCCTTAGCACTAATTTATCTTTTGACTGGAAGTTTGTACCTTTTGACTACCTTCATCCAATTCCCCTTTCCCCCACCTCTGCCTCTGGTAACCACAAAATCTAATTTCTTTTTTGATGAATTTGTTTGTTTGTTTGTTTGTTTTTGAAATATAGTTGACCTACAACACTATGTTAGTTCGTGGTATACAACGTAGTGATTCGATATTGCTGTACATTTCAAAGTGATCACCATAAGTCTAGCAATCATCTGTCACCACACAAAGATACAGTTATTGACTTTTTTTCCTTCCTACATTGTACGTTTCATACCTGTGACTCACTTATTTTGTACCTGGAAGTTTGTACCTCTTAATCTCCCTAAGCTATTTCTCTCCTCCCTTCACCCCCCTTCCCTCTGGCAACCACTTGTTTCTTCTCTGTAGCTATGAGTCTGTTTCTCTTTTGTTATGTTTGTTCATTTATTTTGTTTTTTAGAGGCCACATGTAAATGAAATCATACAGTATTTGTCTTTCTCTAGCTGACTTATTTCACTTAGCACAATACCCTCTAGATCCATCTATGTTGTCTCAAATGACATGATTTCATTCTTTTTTTTTGTGGTTGAGTATTCCCTCGTTTATGTATACACCACATCTTTATCCACTCATCTATCGATGGGCCCTTAGGTTGCTTCTATATCTTGGCTGTTGTAAATAATTCTGTCATGAACATAGGGGTGCAGATATCTTTTCGAATTAACATTTTTATTTTCTTCAGATGAATACCCAGGAGTGGAATTGCTGGATGTTATGGTAGTTCTATTTTTAATTTTTTGAGGAATCTCTGTACTGTTTTCAATAGTGGCTGCACCAGTTTACATACCCACGAGGTTTCTCTTTTCTCCACATCCTCGCCAGTGCTTGTTATTTGTTGTCTTTTTCATGATAGCTATTCTGATGGGTGTGAGGTGCTACCTTATAGTGGCTTTGATTTGCCTTTGTCTGTGATATAGAGCATTTTTTTCATGTGTTGGTTGGCCATCTGTATGTCTTCTTTGGAAAAATATCTATTCAGGTTCTCTGCCCATTTTTTAATTGGGTTTTTTTAAACATGTTGATCTGTATGAGTTCTTTGTCTATTTTGGATATTAACCGCTTGTTGGATATATCCTTTGCAAATTTTTTCTCCCATTCAGTAAGTGACCTTTTTGTTTTGTTGATAGTTTCCTTCACTGTGCAAAAAAAGCTTTTTAGTTTAACGTAGTCCCATTGTATTTTTGCTTTTGTTTCCTTTGCTTGAGGAGACATACCCTCCCAAATTGCTAAGACCAATGTCAAAGAGTGTCCTGTCTGTGTTTTCTTCCCTAGTCTGTCTTTTACCTTTCTGTTTCCTCTACCAGAGTTTTACAATTTTTGTGTCTCTCTTTTCCTTTATGGCTTTTAGGTTTCCTGCTTTGCTTAATAAGATCTTCCCAACCTAAGCTTATGCAAATGTTCTTCTAATATTTTTTTGGTTAATTTAATTGCTTTACATTTTACCTTTTACACTGATCCAAACCTTGAAATCATTACTGAATCACAGTGGACAGCCTCCCCCTTTTCCTGTGTCCGATGGCAGTGACTTGAGGATGGCCTCCTTTGTTTAGATGTTTGCTACTGGTTTGTGTTAAGAATGTATGATCAGAGTTTAGTTGTTTTCTTCTAGTTCTGTTGTGCTTTGAGTTTACTAGGAATGACTGCTGAATGGTACCCGA